TTATTTCGCTCGACGTACTACGTCTCGAGTTGTAGATTTTTAAATATTAATTCCATCTAGTGTATGATCCTGTTACTTGGATGATTTCTGATCGTTAGCTGCATGATCTCGTTACCTGATCGATTCTGGATGCTTTATGTTATCATGATTTAGTAGTGTTTTCATATTGAATTGTGGATTTCAATTCTACGTTCTTTTATTGTTTCTGTTATCGTATCGTTTTTCGCATTGGATTTCCGTTCGTTCTATTTTCTTTATGGGGTCGGGTCTTACCGTGTGCCATACACGCTGACATACACCTGTTTTCTCTGGTGTACGTCAGACTTAGAGGAAGGACAGGTTCAGCATGAACTAGAGGATCCTCAGCAAGAGTGCCTTGTAGACGGAGCAGAAGAAGGATTCGAAGCTTATTCTTTGATGGTTCCAGTTTACCTTTGTAGTTCTTTCCATTCCTGCTATATTTCTCTAGTATTCTTTTGTTCATTTTGTATAAGTGCATGTTTACCCGAATATTATGTCTGGGATGAATATTCATTGTGATATGTGTTATTTTATTCTGAGTTTATCTATTATATTCTTACTGATTATGATCGGGGACCTGTGACTTCGCATTGTATTTATTTCTAGACACTTAGCGTATTGGGTTGAGAAGAAAAGAAAAAGAAAGAAAAAAATGATAGTGTATATTCCTTCTTAATCTAATACGTCACGGGCTTGTTCACGCTCCGATTCCCCGGTATTTTGGGAAGCGGGGCGTGACAGGTTTTAGTGGTGGCCCATGCAGGTCACGGTTCCGATCACGGTCCCGAGTTCCCACTAGTGAGAATATAATGAACAATTTAGATACATATCATATTTCATCCGTAAGACTAATCTTGAGCTCTTATTCCATTCTCTTGATAGATTTTATTTCGTCCCTATCTTATCACTCTTTGACTCCGAGGCTTCCCACTATTCTTGTTTCGTCGCTTCGTGACTACACGCTCTCTCCCTATAACTTCATCTTTTCTTGTATAGGCCGTTATTATATGTGTTGTTATTTATATGACTATGTTTCTTTGGTTGACTTATATATCGTTGATTGTATTGATTTCTGCATTATTTATTATGTTATGTTATGTATCACACACAATATTATATTGTATGTTTTTCATTAAAAATATATATATATCATTACTTGTACATTTTCAATTGTTCAAATCATGTCATTAGATTTTACATACACATCGCATATCACATCTGATATTTAGAGATTTTACATACACATCGCATATCACATCTGATATTTAGATTATTTTATTGTGTTTAATTATACTTTTACATATCTACATTATGTATGTGTGCATTTGATATTTAGATTATTTTATTGTGTTTAATTATACTTTTACATATCTACATTATGTATGTGTGCATTTTCTGTCATATTATCTATTATTTACTTATGTTTAGATTATTGTATATTATTCGTATTTTGTGATATACTTTAATAAGTTCATTTACTTATGTTTAGATTATTGTATATTATTCGTATTTTGTGATATACTTTAATAAGTTCATGATATTAATATTCTACATATGCACTATATTCTTATCATTTATATTTTCAGTATATAGTTCTATCAGTAAGTTTTGTCTTTTTAGATTATTTTAGTATGTTCACAATTGGTTTCGTTATTTCTAAGAGCAATGTATTTATACTTTAATATTCAAGCGTTTATTTATATTGTTAGGTTTGGGGTTTGAGTTACTATTTATATAGGTTTTATAATATTATCTTGTATCATTGAATATTGTTCTTTTATAACTAATATAAAAGATTATTTTAAATAGTGTTTGTAAGTATGTATAGTATTTATTCATGGTTTGTTCATAGTGTAATTGCATATTTGTTGTTGTTTGCTTCGTTTTCGATATGTATTGTTTTGTCATTATAACAATATATAATGTATATGCGTGTTATTTTTGTATTTATTTATGGTATTTTTAGATATTTATGTCTTTTATTGTGTCATTATTGTTGTTCATTCTCTATTCATTATTTTCGTTACTTATGTTTTGTTTTACTTTTATTCTTTTACAATTACTATTCTCTTTTCATTATAGTGTATTCATTTAGATTATTATATTTACGATGTTATTAATTTGTAATCATTCATTATTTCTATTATCAACTGTGTAATTATGTTTATCTACGATGTATCAGTGTTTTTATTATACAGAATTATGCTCTTCTTATGTTTTTATTGCTTATATACCTATTTTACCTTTCATAGTTCTTGTTTTATATATTATACTTCTTCATTTAGTAGTATGTTTGTAAGTGTTATTATTGTTAGTAAGCATTTATGTTTCAGTGTATTCTACGATTTTTGTATGTGTTAATTTATTTTGAGTTTTATACTATCAATTTATTCATTACTTATTTGAACGCATTGAGTCCTTCAATTATGTCTTTCTTTGTCAGATTTGTATTTTTCATTATTTTGACTTGTGTTATTTTATATCGTGTTACTCTTCTGTTTTGTTTCTCTTATTTTTGTAGATCATATTATATCAATATCAATTTATTCTTATATTTTTTCTTTGAATATGAGTTGTTATTTTTCAGTGTGAGCGTGTAGTGTTATGGCTTTATAGTTTGTGTATAAGGTTATTAAAGGTTGTTACAATGTTGGTGTTTGTTTAGCTTTGATTTTTGTATTTTTACATATTGTATTTTGGTTATGTATTTAGTCGTAATATTTTTGTAGTTGGTGTGTCTTATATTTTATGTAATGTATTCTTGCTCATGTTTTTCACGTTTCAATTTGTGTATTGTTATATTTATTGTGATTTAGTATTTACTATGTTTTTGTTATAATTTTTGATTAGTAGTTACATTATGGTGTAGTTGTTCTTATTTTGTGTTACATTTATTTTGTTAATTCTACGTATTGTACATATATTTATAAATGTTTGCTGTGTATGTTATCACATAATTTTGGTCACATTTTACTTTTCATGTACGTGTTTTGTTATCATTATTGTTTGGTTATTTATCAAGTTATATGTTTTTCTTGTATGTGTTTATATGTTGTCTTTAATTTTATTAATTTATTAGTTTATTTGTGTTATTTGGGTTATATTATTTATTAATTAACATAGTTATTTTTTTTACGTTTTATCAATAGTTCATAGTTTATTTTAGAATATGAAATGAGTGTTATAAGTTTATACAACTTAATTACAGATTTTGTACATTATAGATATTTTGTTGTGTTTATTAGTTGTTTTTCTTTTGTTAGATTGTGTATATTTTACTTTGATAATGTATTTTATTTATCTATTGTTTATTAGTTGTTTTTCTTTTGTTAGATTGTGTATATTTTACTTTGATAATGTATTTTATTTATCTATTCATTAATTATTTCAATTGTTGTTAGATTGTGTATATTTTACTTTGATAATGTATTTTATTTATCTATTCATTAATTATTTCAATTGACATACTTATTTATTTTTCATATACACAAGTCTCTGTATTACTGTTTTACTTAACTGTTTATGACCATAATTGATTATTGTTTTGGATATTTTTACATGACAGTTCACATGTTGTATTATGTTTATTCTTTATGTATATTGAGTTTATAGTTTTTGTATCATACTTAGTTATTCTAACATGTATAATGATATAATGGATAATGGTATATTTTGATATTGTGATCGTTGTGTAAATGTTAAGAATACATAATTACATGATTGATGCATATATTTTTATGTCTTTTATCTACGTCTATTATTGATATGCTTTTTACTTTTTACTGTCAACTATTATATGTATTATTTTTGGTTTACAGATTACTATATGATATCGTGCATATCTTATTTTAATTTCGAGGGCGAAATTTGATTATTTTTGGTTTACAGATTACTATATGATATCGTGCATATCTTATTTTAATTTCGAGGGCGAAATTTGTTTTAAGGGGGGTAGAATGTAAGGATGATATCGTGCATATCTTATTTTAATTTCGAGGGCGAAATTTGTTTTAAGGGGGGTAGAATGTAAGGATCATGAATTTTGATACTAGTTAAAATAAATTTTTTAGTGTTTTAAATTATTTAATTATGATTTTTAAAAGAGTATTTGTATTTTTCTTGAATTTTTATAATTAACTACAACAGAAAAGCTAATCCGCGAGGAACAAGTTTGTCGTTAAAAGTCGAGATTTCCTCGCCGTAGTGTGTTGGCGAGGAAAAAACTTTGGTCACCATTTCCTCGCGGTAAGGTGGTCAAGAAAAGTTTCTACGAGGAATATTATAATTTCTCGCGAAATCCTTTTTGCGATGAATATATTCTTTTCTCGTTGTTACTCTTTAGCCTCGATATTTTTCCTCACCTAATCTCATACATTTTTCATCGCTAAACTACAGTTTCCTCGCCAATGATACGTGAATAATATTTAATTTATATATAATAAAAGTTTTAAAAAAAACTATTTTCGTCGTTGTAAGTATCTTTCAACGAGGAAAATGTTCCTCACCAAAGGTAAATCTTAAAAAAACTATTTTCGTCGTTGTAAGTATCTTTCAACGAGGAAAATGTTCCTCACCAAAGGTAAATCTTTAACGAGAAAATTGATTTTCTTCATTATATGTATCTTTTTCTCGTGGAAACAGTTCCTCAGTAAAGGGACTCAAAGACTTTTTCTCGTGGAAACAGTTCCTCAGTAAAGGGACTCAAAGACGAGGAAATTTAAATTTGTCGTTGTAGATTGTACCCCATATTCCTCGCCAAAGAAATTCAATTACGAGGAAAGTTACATTTGTCGATATAGATTATACGGTCTATAGCGAGGAAAATAACTTTTGCCGTTATAGGTTGTATCACTATAGCGAGGAAATATGTTTTTGTCAACGTAAGCAATATACTCTATAACGAGGAAATATTCTTTTGACGACGTAAGCAGTATACTTATAATAAGGAAATTTTATTTCATCAATAATAATGCTATTACGGCTTGCTCCTCCAATCTTTGGATGACCTCATTTTGCGCATCGATCTTTTGTTGTTGAGTTCCTACAAGTTCTTGGGTCTCTTGAAGCTGTTCTTGCAATTCTTTATTCTTTTCAGACATTTCACTAATCGAAGAAAGAGAGAACCTTAATGGTGGTGGTCTAGAGCCAAAACCACAGCCCTTAATGTAGCCTGATTTGACTTTGAGAACTTTTGCACAAATTTCCTCATCTGTCATTGTTCGAGTTCAATCAGGTTGAGTGGTGTCTGCTCGCATCTTTATCATTTGATCCTATAAATAAAAAAATATATCCAGTTCAATCATATGTAACTTCTCAATTACAACCTAATCAATATAATCCTCTTTAGAACAGTAATATCAGTTTTCGAACCTGGAGCTGCACACACTGCATAGGCCAAACACCACAGTTAAAAAAATTGAAATGAACACAAGTCATATAAAGTCCATATTTCGAGAAAAGCATGCAATGAACTATAACAAAAAAATTGAAATGAACACAAGTCATATAAAGTCCATATTTCGAGAAAAGCATGCAATGAACTATAACAAATATAACTAACAACTTTCACTAGATAATTTACTTAGAACACTTGAAGACCAAAATATATAACTTACGTTGGCTAAATAATCATAGATCATACATGGTGGCATATTAATGTGGTCACTAGTAAAAAATGAGGCATTCAAGACGGAAATTTCTATCTAGAAAAATCAGATTTTCGTCTAGGATGATTATCCTAGACGAAATTCCGTCTACAATGCGCGTCTAATAAGTTTCCGTCTATGATGTAGTATTCTAGACGGAAATTCCATCTAGGATTCATCCTAGACGGAATATCATAGACGAAACTTAAAACCGTTTAGGAAAATCCTAGACGGAACATCCTAGACGGAATTTCCGTCTAGGATACTCATCCTAGACGGAAAAACTTTCCGTCTAGGATGAGTATCCTAGACGGAATTTTTTCCGTCTAGGATGCTTTGGACATCCTAGATGGAAATTTCGTCTAGGATGCTGCTACAATTTTTTTTAACCTACTTTGTGCATCAAGTGATCCTAGACGGAAATTCCGTCTAGGATGCTGCTACAATTTTTTTTAACCTACTTTGTGCATCAAGTGAGCATTCCGTCATTGAAGTAGTACATATCAAGTGGGCAAATATAATTCCGTCATTGAAGTAGTACATAGTCAAGTAACTTGCCAACTTTGGCTGATAATTTCCATCTCGGAGACAATGAGGATATCACCGTCTTGCAATTCATAACTTATCTAACAATGGAAAGGTAGGGTGCTATAGAATGTAATCCAAATTGATCTCCATACTTCCTAAGTGATCTTGAAATATTTTACAGTTAGGTCTAGCAAAAGGAGAGTTACCACAAAGTTTGCAGATCACTCATTATTCACAGTTCTGTTCTTTTGTGTCAGTAGATGAGCAATCCGTATCATTTATGTCCCCTGTGAAATAATTCTTGTAACACTGATTCTTGAAAATCACAGTTTATACCTAAGAAGCCCACACAAAATATGGAGACATCCATGCACTTATATAATCCTAGAATAAGAAGACTGGTTCCAATTAAAGTACTGATCATCTGAAGGAAAATTCTGGATAAAATCTAATTTTCTTGACAACATTCTATACCGATATATAATGCATATTATGCCATCAAAATTGCAAAATGGAGCATTCCAAAAAGTTCCTACAGTGAAAAGTTTTTCTTTAAAAGCATTGAACTAAACCATACATCAATTTTTTACTAAGTACCTCTACAAATTTCTCCAAGTAAGGCCATACATCAAATCTTGATATCCACTTTCGAAGAATTCCTTTTTCTGTCCTAAAGGGAACCCGCAAAATATGTGTATGCTCCGTTCCACTGACTCTCTCAAGTCGTTGATTGCATGTAGTGCCCTTTGCATCTGGTATCAATTTGGTCACCTATATCACGGGTGATAGTATCTAAACTATTAACCATACAAAAAGAAAAAACACAATAAAGCGATGCAAAGAAAGTTCTACAAGCAGCATAAACAATTGCTCAAATAAATAATATTGTGTAAATAATGTTTTAGAAATAGTAAATGGGCAAGAATATTCCTTTTTGCACTTACCACAAGAATTCTGGGAATAATATTTAACCCTTGGTTTTTTATTCTCAAAAGCATTTCATTCTCTAATGCGCGAACCTGAACTAATATATAGACAACCTGCAAAAAATGAAAATAAGAAGTTAAAAGGCAGTTGTTATCTTTAAAAGGAGACATCCAATGAAAGAAAAAGAAGGTAGGCATTAACAAACTACTATCGAAAAGATCGAAAATATGGCAACACGCTAAGTAGGAAAAAAGAATATCCAAAAGAAGATGAATCATCTCCAATACACGCTGAGCTGCATCGCCCCAACCTTTCTCTAGTCCCATCTCTTGGAACCTGCATGCCAAATACCAACCATTATTTTCAATATGTTGCTAGATAAGTAACACTTTTCACCTAAATCAAGGCCTTTGGTTAAAGAAATATGCACGATGCATGTCATTGCCAATGAAAACCACAGAGTTGTCAAAATTCAGGGACATGCTCAATGCTGGGCAAAGTCTAATATAAGAATGATACTTGCATTGAAGCCTAGGAAGTCAGTTTGCAAGCAATTCTCCTGCTAGTTGACAACCCAAATTAATTCAACCAAGGGGAAGCTTCCACTTAAACATCATCAATGCTATAAGAGAGAACAGGCAGAGTTGGAGCCTGACAAAGTTCGTTAGACGGAATTCAATTGATCATGACCCACAAGATAAGCAAATTCATGGCCATTTGAGATAAAATAGAGAAGGCTAAAAACTGCTCAAATAAGGCAAGGTTAATGAAAGTCTGAAATGTATCAATTAGTGAAGATTCCTGGCAATTATATCCAAAGCATTCATGAAAAGCAAGGGTTCTTACGCATAAGCAAATTCCGAGAAGGGGGTATCAGGCGCAAGCTTCAGCAAATAGTCTTCAGCCTTTGATAATTGTGATTGAAGCCTTGATACACTCCCAATCCTATCATTCAACATCATCACCTGCAGACAGACACAGGGAGCAATCTCAGCAACCAAACATTTGTTTATTGAAAGTAGAAAGCCACACTACACTAATCTTTTGTTGCAAGCTACACCTACATGCCCTTTATACTTGTGGGCCCGAAGAAAATCAACCAACGGCTCCAAGCAATCCTTATTCCTGAACATTATAGACGATAGATGCCTGTTAAGGAACTGAACCCCATTTCCTATGGATGAAGACCTGCTGGGCCGTGGGAAATTCGCATTAAAAGGTTCAAAATCCAGCTCCAACACAAAAGGATCATTGTGCCTGCCAAATCCAGTTGACATAAGACATCAAGTACCAATAAGCATTCAATTTACAAAAAGGAAGTCCAACTTCCATTAAAATTTTGCTTTAATTAGCCAAGATATAGCAGCTAACCCAATATGCTAATTCCAAGATTCAGGTGACTTTCATTTAGATACCTCTTATTAGCTAAAAAAAGAGACAATCTAGCTCCATTATAATAAAAAAAGGGGCATATGGAGGTTTTGGTGAGGGGGGTGAGCGTGGAGATGAGAGAGAGAGAGAGAGATTTAGGGGTTTTTAGATGGAGAGGGCCAGAGCGGAATAAAATGAGGAGGGGAAATGGAAAAATAGGCGGGGAAATGAAAAAAAAAAGTTTCGTAAAATTTGTTAGGCAATCTAGACGGAATTTTCGTCTAGTTTTAGTATTATTTAAAAAAATAAAAACCATCTGGTTTGTCAATCTAGACGAAAATACCCGTTTAGCTTGATTCAAACTAGACGGTGAGTATATCTATTAAAAGGGTTAAATTTGATATTTTACTCTGACCATGTTTAGAGTTTAAGGTTTAGGGGTTAGGGAAAAATATAAACATGTGTATATATTTCAGCTATCTTTTCAAAGAGAAAATTTGTTGTGATCAAGAATGAAAGATCTTATTACGATAGGATACCCGGTTGAGGCATTAAAACATATTCAAAGTGGAAATATCTTGCTGAGGCATAAATATCTAATCGAGACGGATATATCTAGATAAGCTCAGAATGTATGATTAATGAGTGTTTAGAATCGAAGTAATGCCTAAACTTGTGAGGAGAATCTCTCACATCTCAATGTATGATTAATGAGTGTTTAGAATCGAAGTAATGCCTAAACTTGTGAGGAGAATCTCTCACATCTCAAAGCTAATGTAGTTTATATCTATTTTCATTGCTAAATAGGAATATGAGATTTCATTGCATGTTTGGTTTAATCTATTTTCAAAAATCAATATTATCTATTAACATAATCTGTTTACAAAAGTCTGAAATCAATGTATATTCAAAAATCGCAAATAGTTTATACACACACACACACACACATACGATTCTCCATTGATATCGAAGCATGGTCACCATACACCTTAAACATTATGCCAAATAGGAATAAGAGATTTCATTGCACGTTTGGTTTAATCTATTTTTAGAAGTCAATATTATCTATTAACATAATCTAATTTCAGAAGTCTGAAATAAATGTATATTAAAAAAAATCGCAAATTGTTTAAATCTTATCAGACTTGTGAGCAATCCTTTATTATTGGGATCCCTTTGAATCTGAATAAATATTAATTGGTTGTTAATCTTCATGTGAATTGTGCAAAAACCTAATAAAAGGAACCATCAACCAGACAAACCAAATCCTTATTTCTATCCATACTGGAGCTTTACCTCGTGCTGGACATTTATTCAAAAAAATGTAAATTGGCCCACGATTGTTGACTTGTATATGGACATTTGTTAGGCCATTGATATTAGAGGCCCGCTATTTTCTTTGAGTACACGCCTACTTTTTACCCAAATTCCCACCAAAATTTTTGCCAACGAATAATAAGGATATTATTATTTCCTCGCTGATTGGTTTTTTATTAAGGAAATGATTTCTCGCAAAACAAAAACTTTTAGCGAGGAAGGCTTAAATTTGTCGTCATTGAATTTGGCGGTTTTTGCACATTTTTTCGTCAAACTAATAATGAGGAAACTATTATTTCCTCTCTAATTGATTTTTTTAATGAGGAAAGGGTTCCTCGTAAAACAAAAAAATTTAGTGAGGAAACCATCAATTTGTCGTCAATGAATTTCCTAGCTAATAGGTTCTTTTTTACGACAAAACGGTTCCTCGTAAAACAAAAACTTTTAGCAATGAAGCCTGAAATTTGTTGCTATTGAAATTGGCGGGTTTTGCACATTTTTCCGCTAAACTAATAATGAGGAAACTATTATTTCCTCGCTAATTGGTTTTTTTAACGAGGAAACAGTTCCTCGTAAAACAAAAATTTTAGCGATGAAACTTTTAATTTGTCGTCAATGAATTTGGTGGGTGTTGTAAATTTTTTCTCCAAATTAATAGTGAGAAAACTATAATTTCCTTGCTAATAGGTTCTTTTTAACGAGGAAACAGTTCCTCGTAAAAACAAAAACTTTTAGCGAGGAAGCCTTAAATTTGTCACCATTGAAATTGGCGGGTTTTTTGAAATTGGCGGGTTTTTTTTCTTCCCGCCAAACTAATAATGAGGAAACTACTATTTCCTCGCTAATTCATTTTTTTGATGAGGAAATAGTTCCTCGCAAATTATGGATCTTTAGCGAGGAAATCATACTTTGTCGCTGTTACATTTGGCGGGTTTTCCTCTATTTTCCGCCAAAAGAACAGCGATGAAATGATTATTTCCTCGTTAAATGTGTATTTCGCGATGAAAAAGTTCATCGCCAAAATCTCATATTTCCTCGCTAATAAAATAACTAGTTATGAGACCAAATCATGATCATCTTTAGTGAGGAACTAAAATTTTCATCGTAGAAGGTGGTCTACTGTGAGGAAAATATATTCCTCGTAAAAGACCTACTGATATTTATCGAGGAAACAATGTTTTCCTCATCGAAGGTGATATTTGTTGAGGAAAATAATTTTCTCACAAAAAAGTTGGTCGCTAAAAGACATGTCTGTTGTTTTATATTTATTTAAATGATATTAATATTTATAAATTAATTTTATGGGGTGAAAGTTTATGGAATTTATCTGTTGCGTTATCGATGCTATTACATGTCATTTTGAATAATACGTTGTATTATTTTTATTATTACGTATATTTTTGTATAATACGTTGTATTATTAATTACGTATTATTTGTATAAATTACTGTATTATTTCTATTGTTACATATTATCTGTCGTATTAGTATAACTTGTACGTTTTACTGTGTATATATTTATCCCATAATTGTTTGATTTTAAATATAAGTAAATATATTTTATTTATTAATTATTCTCGTTTAATTGTACAATATGAGTATATTTCGACTATTTCATATCAACTGTTGTTTTAGCACAACATGTACGTTTTTATTTGTAGATAATTATTCTATAATTAGTTTAATTTTTAAATACCTGTAATTATTTATTTTAATTATTTTTGTTTAAAAATCCTAGTTTTCTCTTATATATATGTATTTAATCTTTCTCTCTCCTTCCTCTATTCTTTTTCACGCCGCCAGAGAGCATCCTTCGCTCTCTCTCTCTCTCTCTCTCTCTCTCTCCTCCTCTCTCTCTCTCTCTCTCTCTCTCCCTACCAAAGCTATTCTCCCTCGTCGCCATCAACGCGCGCGCAAAGCCAAGCTTCTAAAACCCGACGCGACAGGCGTTCCTCCACCCCTGACTAAGCACTCGTCCCGCCCCTGGCACCCACGCCGTCCACTCCATCTCGCAGCCCCTGAGATCGCCGTTGACTCAAGCCGCGACCAGCGCCTCTCCGGCGCAGTTCCCACTCGTCACAACCTCCTCTCAGCTCCGACAACCCTCAGTTCGCTTGTCGTCACCCACCTCAGGCCACGCGTCGAACCAGTAGCCCACTCGAGATCGCCGCCGCTAACACCCGCGTCCCCCCAGCCTCTGTTCGCCAAACCTCCATCTCCGACCATGCACAGCCCGCTCAGCCCTCCCAGCCTGTCGAGCTCCTCCTTCACTCTCAGCCTGAACTCGCGCCCTCACTGCAGGCCACTGCGCCTTTGGTCAGCACCGGACGTCCCCTAACACCATCCGCCTCTTCCACCTGCACCGCCCGTAGCCGTGCGGTTTGCATGCTGCTCGCCTCATCCGCCGCCGCCTACCGTCGCTGGACAGCCCCTCGTCGGAGCTCTTCCCAAGTTCGACGTCGCGCTCCTCCGCGTCAGATCTAACCCGCGCCGCCGACGTCGATTTGATTCGACGCATCGAGGCAAGATCCCGCTCCTTTTGATTCGTCATTTCCTATTTATGTCTGTCGTTAATTAGTTGCATAGGTTAGATTATGAATTGTTATTATCTGCGTGAGACTGTTGATGACGATATTAAAGGATTTCAAATGATAAATTAATGTTTTCTAGATTCATTAGAATTATTATGATGAAAAAAGAGATTATTTGAAAAAAGAGTAGTTTTGAATAATTATTAAATAGATAATCTAAATTAATTTATTTTGGGGAAAACAGATTATTTGAATTGTTAAACAATTTTGAGAAAAGATTATTTTAGAATAATTATTATGAATTAAAAGAATTTATTTCGGCAATAGAATCATTTTTTTGGATAATTATATTAAGTAAAAAGAATTTATTTGAGAACAGATCATTTAGAAAAATTATAACAATTTAAAAGAAATTATTTTAGAAAAAGAATTAATTTCTGAATTACACAATTGGTTGTTCATAAATTTATGACTCTTAATTTCGATTACCTGATTGCTATGATATTATTATACATGATCAGTTATTTTTATTATTATTTGTTGTGATTGAGAACCATTAGTAGTTCATGACTTAGTGGCCTCGTGCGTCATGAACAGACTTAGTGACATGTGTGGGTGTGTTGACTGAGTTTAGGTGGTGAACCCGAGTTTCAATGAGGACTATGGTTGATTTAGAAAATACAAGAGAGTTGGGATGGGAAAGTCCATGTTCATGTGATCGGATAAGGCTGTTGATGTATCTTCCAGGCCTCCCCATGATCCAGTGTAGCTTGGGGTTGGTTTGTTGGGTCAAAGTGGAGCCGGTGTAGCCACTTTGGTCCGTGAGCTTGATATTCACCTGATTCTTGCTTGAGTTCGAACCAGGCCGGAATCGGATTGCGTGTAGCCCTCTGACCGATCCAGTGTAGCGGCGTATTGGGTGTACGTAGGGGATTTGTGAACAGCCAGTTATCTGATGACAGGAGCATTGATTCTGTGTGAGATGTGGACCAGTGACCTGTTATAGGATGGCTAGTCACATGACTCGTTTCTTGTCTAAGTATGAGTTCTTGTAAGATATAGGCTAGTTATGTTTCTTTTCATACATAGATCGGGATTAATATTTAATTATTTACAATTCGAGACATATAGTATATATATGAGGGTTTCCTTGTTTGGATTATTTCGCTCGACGTACTACGTCTC